TGAGATATGAAAAGGTAGTGTTGAGTCATCAGGTAAGACGGGACAGGGCAATCAATTTGTCCAAGCATAGAGGATCAGCCAAAGAACTCTTGTCTCCGCAAATTTCTTCATGATTCGCTATTTGACGCAGAAAGCGCCGGATCAACTTCCCACTGCGTGTCTTTGGCAGGGCATCAGCTCGCTGGAAATTAGGTGAGATAAACAAGTTACAGGAGAGGAAATAAGCAAAGAATGTGAGAAAACAAAAAGTGCTAAGAAAATCTACAAAGCCATACGTGTATATAAAGTGACAAAAAAGCAACTATAATTTGTAGTCGAATATATGAAGACCAAGATGGTGTGGCCTTTTGTGTGGTCGCAGTCTGCTTCTGTATATAAAAATTGTCTGACCTTGTTTTCGCAACTTGGCCATATTGGTAGGAAGACTTAGATGAACGCACCTAGTCCGGAGTACAGTGTATGCATGATAATTTCCAAAGTCGCACCGTGGACGTAGTACATCCCCAGAAGTTACGCCAGCATCGTAATCGGCATCGTCAGTGATTCTTGCCATTCTTAGCACCACACTACAACTCGTCAATGTAGCAAAGGCTCGAACATGAGACTTACTCAGAGACTTTAGGCTCGAATTAGTCACCTAGGCGCAGGGAGTTAATAATAACGCCTCAAGTAGCACAGAAGGGGTGGCAGGGGTCGAGTGAAATACTTTAACCAGGGAGATAACAGACAAATCCTACGGGGCAAGAGGGAGACTCTGATAAGAAATAGAGGAGGATTGTGTAACAATATGGCAGACAATGATCAACATTCCCAGCAGAAGAGTGAAGGGATGTGAGAACGCCAGCGTGGAGTGTTGGGAGTTCTCATGAAAGCCGACCAAAAGGGCACATCACACTAGATTTAAAAAGGCAGGGAAAATTGTGATAGTGAAGGCGTGATACGAGAGTATAGGAGAGATGAATAGTCCAGGACAGAAGAAGAAATACCACAACGGTTTAGCATACATTTGGTCAAAGGATAGGCTTCATTTGTCTCCTTGACGAGTTATAGTATGGTGCTAAGAATGGCAAGACTCATTGACGATGTCGGCTAAACGTCTGGAAATGTATCAAGTCCACATTCCGACTCTCTGGAAATGATCATACATACTATGGAAACTGGACAAGTTACGTTCCTCTAGGTCTTCCTGCCAATTTGCCGAGTTGCGAAAACAAGGTCAAAAAACTACTATATAACGAAAGGCGACCGCAACTATACTAAAGGCAACACAATCTTGATGTTCATAAATTCAATCAAATTAGCAATAGTGAAATAATTTATGGCCACTGGATAGTCTATAAAGAGAATAATAATTTCCGACCAACATAAGGGTTGATTAGCTTCGTATCTGGCTAATTTCCCAACTTCAGCTGGCTTATGAAAATAGCATAGACACAATTGCGTGCAAGCCTACATCGAAATACCACTATTTAAATCTACTTCACTTATGTAAGGAAATTATTTTGACTAAATATACGGGCTCTATTCACCCTATTTCGTTTAGGATAATGCAGAACTTATATTTGAACTTTCAAATAAGGATGAGCAAACCACACATTTTAAATGAATTTCACAAGGCCCTGCTTCTCAATAGGTCGAAACTGCAGTCCACCCTGGATGATAATAGATGTTGGAATCAAAGTTATAAAAAACCCGATAGAAATGTTAAGCCTATTCATATAATTGGGGGAAAATTAATCTACAAGTCGTCTACCAGTAATATACCATTTTCTATCACCTTAAACAAAATATGATCCACTGGTAGTCATGCAGCCTAAGTTACAACCAAAAAAAGATTGTGATTATATTAACCAATAAAGCATTAAAAATCATAATATACACGCAAAATTGGGTACGAAGAGTAAGTATGATCGCAGGCCACGTTTCTTGGATCAGTGAATTGGTGTTTTTTTATTGAAAGATGGCTTCTCGTTCAAATGAAGTGCGTCACATAATAGACGAAAGCTCAGTGCAAATTCATAGGGGTCAAAGGACGCTGTGGCCCGTGAAGCTAATATACGAATCCTCTCCAAACTACTTTTCTTTAAAAACGCAAAGTCCTGTGAAATTAAACTATTAAAGGACCCGTAGAAACCCAACTTCTCTTCATAGATAAATATGAATTACTTTATCGTCTGGCCATCATCTGCCAATATTGACGTGGGTCATGAAGAGGAGGTTAATATAAATATTTCGCTTTTTTTAACTTAAGGAATTATTAGTACAATGATAGGATATGTAAAAATAACGTGTGTACGTTCTCCATGCAAGGTCCTTAGAAGAAACTCCCATTCGAAATTAGTCCGGCGATTCGAGCCAAGGTACAAAACAAGAGGAATTTCACTTGAGATATTTGTTTATTTTTCCTGAAATTAGTCTTAATGACAAGATTTGGTAACCAATTTGTTAGCTTTAAAAATATTCTTTTGAACTGAATTTATGCGAATAATGTAAGTGAAAAGATAAATAAATATAGATCAGGCATACAAAAATATTGATTGCAGATAGATAGATTAAATGACAGAAAGCTAAGCGTATAAGGAACAGGTACTAGGATTATGAAATATAGTCACCCTAGGTCGCTCAAGGTGACGAATCCTGGTAAATTTTACAACAAGGATATAAATAGGCCTCATGATGCCATCAAATTTCACTTAACCTTACTTCTCAAAAGGTAGAGCCAGATGAACTTAATTGTCACCTTGAGACATAGGGTAACTACAGTTCTTATTTGGGCTCCATTGAGTCTCAAAAACCTACTCATTACGAATACAAATAAAATAAGGATTGAATTTAACTCACCTGAACATGGTCTGGTGTTGCAAATGGTCCTATTTTACTTCGAACTATTGAGACTAATTCATTGCGAAGCTGGCTGGGCAGACCACCTGATTCATTTTCCCAAACGTCCATCAAATTATGTGAAGTGGTTACCTTGTCAAACACCTCCAACCCATTACTCATGGCTACTGATGTCCTGAGGACTGTATCACATGGCTTATCGACGAGATCAGGTCCACCAACACCGACTGGATTTGTTTCGTGAGTACTTTTTTGAAGCACTGACGACAATGATGATTCGGAGAATCCTGAAGCAGACATATCTGAAATCACAGATAGTGATGCTGGGGTTGACGCTGACGACGGAATGACTAGAGCTGACTTGAGCACGACAAAGCAGTGTATGCATTCACCTTTGGTGGCATGTGGCCTGGCCACGGCAGCCGCCTCTGCAACACTCGGGTGAGTCATTAGTGCAGACTCGACTTCTGAGGTACTCAAAAGATGGCCACTCACGTTAAGCATATCATCGATTCGGCCTAAAGACCAGGTTAAATCCATTTAAAAAAACAAAGGCAATGAGAATTAATTGTTGTCCTTACTTCCATCTCGAGTGAAAGTATTTGGAAAAGAGATTCGAACGTCGATTCCACTAGAGGACTACGGCGGATTCCTCTTGACAAGCTGTCGATTGGCTTTAGTGGAAAATTCATGCTGACGATGTTTCCGAGGTAATCTCCTTCGATTCCGGTGAAAAAGTGCTAAGCTTTCGTCCGTCACATGACGAACATCATCATCGTCACAACCAAATTCAAGCTAATGAGTCAATAAACTCACCGGCAAATCCCTAAAATGTTTTTTATATATTCTAGATCTGGCCTCTGATCAAGTATAAAGTGATTTGGTTAGTTACGGCCATATGTCAACCCCAAAGCCTGTGAGTGCACATTTCTCAGTATGTGTATGTGCCTGCTTGTGTTCGCTTATGAAGGAAATAGCAGTGATTGCTCAAAGCAATTAGGATAGCAAAAGTAACGTCTGTTTCCGGCCATCAAGGTTTGATGAGCCCTATCTCCCCCTTTCTACATACATATTATAACCATCCCTCCGATTGTGCAAAGTCGGACACACGTCTGTTTTTGTTGATGTGAGAAAGAGTGAGCTAAAAGTACAAAGAAGTGACAACGATTATAACCAAGACAATATAAAACTATTCACCTAATTTCGTTTAAGGTAATGAAGGACTGGTAGTAGAATTTTCCCACAATGATATGAATAGAGCTGAAGTTTCCACTGAATTTCGCGTCCTTTTTGCAGGCGGCTCAACTCCCTCTCTATCCTTGAGTCTATTAATAAGCACTAGTAATTTGTACTTATCTTCTTGCCGGTATTCGTAACATACAATGTATTTCCTATTCGGTTTATTTCGATGGCTTTTTAATTTAACGAAGTGGGTTGACCTCGTTGTCGCAACTTGGTCTTGTGTTCAGGGAGACTATGTAGAACGCACCGAG